ACTGGTGGACCTCCTGATGGCACTGGTATTTCTGGCCACTGTGTGACACAGAGTGTTGGACTGGATGGGCCTTTGACCTGATCCAACATTGGCGTCTCTTATGTTCTTATGTTTGATTCCTTCTGCTGCATGGGCTTGCAAAGAGTCGCATCGCTGCCAAGTCACAGTCCCCGCTGTTCCCTGAAGGGAGGGATTCCGCCGTCTGCTGAGAGAGATGCTACTTAAGGGCCTTGTTGAATAGACAGTGTTGAAGGGTGCTCTCAGCGTTGAACACATGAAGCTGCCTTATACCGAGTTAGACCATCAGTCTGTCAAGGTCAGGAGAGATGCTACTCAAGGGCCTTGTCGACTAGACAGTGTTGAAGGGTGCTCTCAGCGTTGAACACATGAAGCTGCCTTATACCGAGTTAGACCATCCATCTGTCAAGGTCAGGACTGTCTACTCGGACTGGCAGCAGCTCTCCAGGGTCTCAGGCAGAGGTCTTTCCCATCACCTACGGCCTGATCCTTTTTTAAGTGGAGATGCCGGGGATTGAATTTGGGACCTTCTGCATGCCAAGCTGATGCTCTACCTCTGAGCCAGGGCACCTCCTAAAGTCAGTATTGTCTACTCGGACTGGCAGCAGCTCTCCAGGGTCTCAGGCAGAAGTCTTTCCCATCACCTACTACCTGTTCCTTTTTTAAGTGGAGATGCCGGGGATTGAACCTGAAACCTTCTGCGTGCCAAGCAGATACTCAGGCAACATAGAGTTTCTTGGAACCTACTACAGTCCTAATCCAATACCTTAATAACCACTCCTCCGCTCTGGCTTTTCGTTGTCTTGTTGCCTGCTTTTCACAGTTGCTCAGGAAAGAGAGATTCTCTTTCCTTACGGGATTCTTAGGTTTCCCTGGTTAATTGTGCGTGTCTTTTGCCTTCTCCCTTTCTCCAGCTTGATCCTCGACGGGGCTCCCCTCATAGCCGTACACAAAGCTCGATATTATAAGAGGAAAGACGGTCTCGCTCTCGGCCCCGGGCCGTTTGTTACTGGACTGGAATATGCCACCGACACCCAGGCTACCGTGGTGGGGAAACCGGAGCGGACGTTCTTCTTGGAAGCCTTGCGCGGTACCAGCTGTGCGCCGGAGGAAGCAGTCATGATTGGCGATGTAAGTCTCCCGATACTTGACCCACCGGAAGATCCCGCCCCCCGTGTGACAAGGAAGCATCACAAACAAAGCCCGGCTAACTGTTGTGTTCTTGTTCTGCCTTGCAGGACTGCAGGGACGACGTTGGCGGTGCGCAGAATGCCGACATGCTGGGTATACTGGTCAAGACTGGTAAGGACGAGGCGGGATTTGTAAGAAAACAAAATTCACGTCCGGATATCGGACAGAAGTGAGCTTTGACTCAAAAGAACCTAAGGACCTAAGAGAAGCCAATGTTGGATCAGGCCAATAGCCTGTCTAAGCTAAAGAGACCCTGTCACAAATGGCCAGCTTGTACAGCATCATGTGTGTGGGAGTATGAGGGCAATGTCCCTACAAGGGAGACATGTGTCTCCATGGAAGGCCATGTAGAGAGAGGGAGAGGACAGAGGGGGGGGAAAGAGAGAACATAAGAGAAGCCAATGTTGGATCAGGCCAATGGCCCATCCAGTCCAACACTCTGTATCACACAGTGGCCAGAAATACCAGGTGGTCCAGCAGTGGGGCCAGGACACTAGAAGCCCTCCCACTGTTTCCCCCCCCCCAAGCACCAAGAATACAGAGCATCCCTTGTCCCAGACTGAGAGTTCCTGTCTATACCTTGTGGCTAATAGCCACTGATGGACCTCTGCTCCATATAAGAACATAAGAGAAGCCAATATTGGATCAGGCCAATGGCCCATCCAGTCCAACACTCTGTCACACAGTGGCCAAAAATACCAGGTGCCATCAGGAGGTCCAGCAGTAAGCCCTCCCACTGTTGCCCCCCCCCCCAAGCACCAAGAATAGAGAGCATCCCTTGCCCCAGACTGAGAGTTTCCATCTATACCTTGTGGCTAACAGCCACTGATGGACCTCTGCCCCATATGTTTATCCAATTCCCTCTTGAAACTGTCCATGCTTGTGGCCACCACCACCACCTCCTGTGGCAATGAATTCCATGTGTTCATCACTTTTAGAGTGAATAAAAGCTTATACCTTGGGAAAATGTATTGACCCCTGAGGTGAGACTGGACTCAAGCTTTGGTTTGCTGCTAGGTAGGAACACAGCGACCCACCTGAAACTGTCTTCCTAGGGTGTATATGACTGGTGACCAGTGCTCCCTCTAAGCTGAGTTAGTGTGAGCTAGCTCACAGTTTTTTTAGCCTGTGGCTCACAGATTTTTGTCTTAGCTCAGGAAGGGTGGCCCCAGAGCAAACTGATTTATGCAGCAGCCAAATTGCTCGTTCACAGCTTTAATGCCAGTTGTGCACAAAATAGGATTTTTGCTCACAAGACTCCACAGCTTAGAGGGAGCATTACTGGTTACCAGTGTTCCCTCTAAGCTGAGTTCGTGTGAGCTAGCTCCATATACCAAGGCAGTATATTTCAGAATAACAGATGCTGTAGACAAAAAGAAGGCGACTCAGATTCTTATATTCCCTCTGAGCACCAATCGCTCGCTCACAACTTCAATGCCAGCAGCTCACAAAGTGGAATTTTTGCCCACAGGACTCCACAGCTTAGAGGGAGCGTTGCTGGTCACTAGGATGTAGTGGGGATCTGAACCCAGGTTCTGCCCAGATCCCAGTCCAGCACTCTAAGCACTGCCCCACATTGGCTGTCTTGGGGCATTGTGCTCGACTCAGATTCTTATATTCCCTCTGAGCACCTTATACTAAGAACCAGGTGAACATAACCATGACCACCCTCTAGCTGGAAAACTTCCAACAGCCACTGAATTGAAAACAAATCGGCCAGTATCATCATGCCCCTGTATAAATCAATGGTGCGACCTCATTTGGAGTACTGTGTACAGTTCTGGTCACCACACCTCAAAAAGGATATTATAGCACTGGGAAAAGTGCAGAAAAAGGCAACTCGAATGATAAAAGGGTTGGAACACTTTCCCTATGAAGGAAGGTTGAAGTGCTTGGAGAAACAACGGCTGAGGGGTGACATGATCGAGGTTTATAAGATTATGCACGGGGTAGAGCAGGTTGAGAAAGAAGTACTTTTCTCCCTTTCTCACAAGACAAGAACTCATGGGCACTCAATGAAATTGCTGAGCGGTCGGGTTAGAACGGATAAAAGGAAGTCCTTCTTCACCCAAAGAGTGATTAGCACATGGAATTCACTGCCACAGGAGGTGGTGGCAGCTACAAGCATGGACAGCTTCAAGAGGGAATTGGATCCATCAGTGGCTATTAGCCACAAGGTATAGATACGAACTCTCAGGCTGGGGCAGGTGATGCTCTGTATTCTTGGTGCTTTGGGGGGGGCAACAGTGGGAGGGCTCCTAGTGTCCTGGCCCCACTGGTGGACCTCCTAATTGCACCCGGTATTTTTGGCCACTGTGTGACAGAGTGTTGGACTGGATGGGCCATTGGCCTGATCCAACATTGGCTTCTCATGTTCTTAGGAACTCTCGGTCTGGGGCAAGGGATGCTCTGTCTTCTTGGAGCTTGGGGGGGGGGGCAACAGTGGGAGGGGCTTCTAGTGTCCTGGCCCCACTGCTGGACCTCCTGATGGCACCTGGTATTTTTGGCCACTGTGCGACAGAGTGTTGGACTGGATGGGCCATTGGCCTGATCCAGCATTGGCTTCTCTTATGTT